CATTTTCTTAGTTATTGTGTTAAGACGTTTATATTCTACTTTTAGAAAGATTCACTTGTACCCTTGTAAGATAAACCATAGAGGTGATCCCTCCAATCACCCTCCCTCTCCTCCCCTCCCCCTCCCCCTCCCCATATTCTTAGGCTATAATTAGGTTATAGCTTTCATATAGGATTTTTTCTTTAAATTTCAGTTACTCTTGGAGGATAGTAAGGAAAATTGTTTATTATTTTAAAAACTCAAAGGGAAAAGTCAGACATTTATCCTACCCTGCCTATACAAACTATTTTACCAGGTAATTAAATATTTGATAAGAAGAAGTTTATCTTTATATAAAGTGTCCCATTTAATCAATGAAGAAAGAATAATAGATTTACAATAACCTATTTTATAAGCCCTAATGAAATAATAAACACAGAATGATCAATAGCTGCTAATACATTTTTTTTTAATTATATTCTGTGACTCTGGGAAAAAGTAAATGTGGAGATTGCCTATAAAATATTATTTCTAGGGTCAGGCACAGTGGCTCACATCTATAATCCCAGCACTCTAGGAGGTCAAGGCACATGGATTGCTTGAGCTCAGGAATTTAAGACCAGCCTGAGTAACAGTGAGATCCCTTCTCTACCAAAAAAAAAAAAAAAAAAAAGATGGGCATTGTGGCAGGTGCCTATAATCCCAGCTGCTTGAGAGGTTGAGTCAAGAGGATTGCTCAATAGGCATGGTCCACACCTATGGTGCATTTTACAAGGGTACATGTTAAGACTATAAATATCTTAACCCAATAACTAAGAAAATGTGGTAAAGTTTATGTTTACCTGTTTTATGAAAGTATTTCAAAGTGTATATAAACTCAGCACATTGTACCCAATAACTTCATTAATGTACACAGCTATGACTTAATGAAAAAAACAAAAACAAAAACAGAGGATTGTTCAAGCCCAAAACTTTGAGATTGCTGTGAGCTATGACACGATGGCACTCTACCCAGGGTGACAGAGTGAGACTTTGTCCTCCCCCCAAATAAAAAACTTCTAAAAAGTTGAACTGGAATCTGGAAATCTTCTAGATCTAACGACTATTAGTTGACAAGGAAATACAGAAGATTGAGGAACGTTAACTGACTCCACTGGGATGCAGTCAGCAAAACCAAGAACCTGTAAATTTGACAGAGAGAATAACTGTTTCTTCAACAAGTAAATTGCAATTTTAATGCGGAAAACAATAGAAGAGAGATTATAAATTTAAAAAGAATTTCAAAGAATCAATATATTTGGAGATTTTAACATTCCTCTCTCAGTAATGGATATAAGAAAAGAAAACTCAGTAAAGATATGGATGATGTGGCTTGGCACCAAGTGGCTAAGGTGCCAGCCACATACACCTAACTAAGGTGGCAGGTTCGAATCCAGCCCAGGCCCACCAAACAACAATGACTGCTGCAACCAAAAAAAATAGCCAGCCGTTGTGGTGGGCACCTGTGGTCCCAACTACTTGGGAGGCGGAGGCAGGAGACTCGCTTGAGCCCAGGAGTTGGAGGTTGCTGTGAGCTGTGATGCCACAGGGGGACAGCTTGAGGCTCTGTCTCAAAAAAAAAAAAGAAAGAAACTAGAAAATTTAAATTCAAACTAAGTAGGAGAAAAGAAAGGATAAACATCACAGCACCAATAATTGAAATAGAAAGCAAACAAAGACAATCAACAAAGCCAAAATAGCTGCCTTTGAAAAGATTCAAAAATCAGCAGAAGAAAGATAAATCAAGATGAAATGATAGGAAAGGTAGCTCCTCGTGAACTACACAGGTAGCAGCATGAAAGAATCTCAAAAAAAAAATTGTTGAACAAAAGAAATCAAGCACAAAAACATTTTATATGATTCTACATACATCAAATCTGAGAGGAGGGGAATCTAATTTATGGTAGTAAACATCAGAAAGCAGTTACTCAGGGTGGTAGGGGATTTATTAGAAAGAGTCACAAGAAAACTGTCTGGACTTGGATGATGGAAATATTCTTTATTTGGACTCAGGTGGTAGTTACATGATCGTACACAATCATTAAAACTCACCTAAGTTCTGTGAATTTTACTACATATAAGCTATCCCTCAATAAAAACTGGTTTTCAATTTTAAAAGCAAGAAAGAAAAATTTAAGAGATACCAACTAATTGCAACTACATAAATTTATTTGGATCCTAATTCTAACAAATGCTGAAAAAAAAACAGGGAAATCTGAACACTGACTTAATATGAAATTAAGAAATCAAGAAAATAGTATAATTATGTTTAAAAGTATATTCTTATTTTTAATGGACATACTGAAATACAGATGAAATGATTTAACATCTCAAGATTTACAACATAAGGTAGTGGGGAAATGGAGAGTGAATTAAAATTGACCATGAGTTCATAAATGTCAATGTAGGGTGATGGGTACATTAGGATTCAGGGCACTGTTCTGTTTTAGTATTTTCTTGGAGTTTTCTATAATTAAAAAAAGATGAAAATGCGGAAAGAAGGGAACACTTTTACGCTGCTGGTGGGACTGCAAAATAATACAACCTTCTTGGAAGGAAGTGTGGAGAATCCTCAAAGAACTTAAATTAGACCTCCTGTTTGATCCTTCAATCCCATTACTAGGCATCTACCCAGAAGAAAACAGTCATTCTATCATAAGGACATTTGCAGTAGATTGTTTAATCACAGCTCAATTTACAATCACCAAAATGGTGGAAACAACCTAAAGGCCCACCAATCCAGGAATAGATTAACAAGCTGTAGTATATGTATACCATGGAATACTATTCAGCCATTTTTAAAAATGGAGACTTTACATCTTTTATATTAACTTGGATGGAGGTGGAACACATTCTTCTTAGTAAAGTATTTCAAGAATGGAGCAAGATTCCAGTGTACTCAGTACTAATATGAAGCCAGTGGATGATCTAACACATACCGACATAAGAGAAAAACTCAAATCAATTCCAAGTGGGGAATGAGGGAGCAAGAAGAGGGGAGGAGGGAGGAGGAGGGGTGTGCTCCCACTTCATGGGCACAATGTTAAGAGGGTATGGCTCGCCCCTTGGGGACAGGACACAATTATAAGAGGGACTTTAGCGAACAAATGCAAACGGAACCTAATTCTTTGTACCCTCAATTAACCTGAAACAATAGAAAAAACCAGGTCTTTGAAATTTCCATTGGGTTGTTCTTTGTCTTTAAAAAAAAAAAAAAAAAAAAAGGTGAAAAAAGGAAAGATTGAACCTAGAGAATGTTAACATCCAATTCAGTAAACCAAGTTTTCATTGAGGGCTGTTCCCCACCAAGTGCTGTGTCTATGCCTGTGCCTACTTCCTGGTTCACAGTAAAATACAGAATTGACATTTTCATCATCAAATAAGTCTCCTCTCTTCCTACCTTACTCCCAGGGAGTGGCTGAAGCCTGATAAAAACGGAACCCTTGATTTCTTCACAGATTGAGTTCATGCTCTGATTATTCCCAGAACTGCACATAAAAACCCTAACATCTTTAATTATACTTAAAGCCCGTGGGTAAGCTATGAAGTTTCTAACGTAGCTCTTTTCTTTGACTCAGCTTTTGACACGATGTGGGTAATTCAGACATGGAACACACCCAGCATTCAGAGTTTAAGAGCACACTACATAATGGGATTCCTCTTTGTAAGGACACTGTGGTACTTTATAAATCTAGGTAGTAATTATTATCATCTCTACTGTAAAAATCAAGAAATTCGAGTGTGGAGTTAGCAGGCTTTGTCTTTGTTATCTTAACTCCAGGAACTGCGCCATCTTCTTCCATCAGAGTCCACTTGTCCATCTTACAAGGGAGTTTGAGATATAAACTCACTTTCGATAGATAAAAACCCAAAGAACATGGGGTTTCCCAGAGCCATCTGAACATATGGGCTGCATGAAACTTTGCCTCAATAAACTACCCCAGTCTCACTCCTTTTATCTGCCAAATCTAGAAATAGGGGTAATTTGTTGATCAGCACAATCTTCTTGGATGTGTTAGTCAGAATGCCACGGCTACTTGTCCTGTGGTCTCGAGGAGCAATCTGACGTTTCGAATCATACAGTTCTTTCTTCCACATTTTGGGCCATGTTGAAGTAGGGAGAAGAAAAGCTTCCTTCCCTGCCAGATTGTACAGTAGGCCTGAGCAGAATTACAGGGAAGTGTCCTGGAAATGAACTCCAGGTTATGGACACGAAGGAGAGACTGCAGTCATTCATGATTTAGACCTTAAGGGCTGTTCGTGCTGAAGGAGTGAGGAATGGCTGGGGGGTACATCCCAGAGAAGCACTGCCCAGCGAGATCTGCGCCTCCACTGGTCTACGGGCCTTTTAGAGCTATCCATCCTGAACCCAGAGAAGCTGGTGTTGACAATGAACCCGCTCTGCCCCCTCGTAAAGCTGGTGTAGGTTACTGGACACATTCCTCCATCTCCTCATCTCCCCATCTCCTCAAGGAGAGAGCTGTATTAAAAACGACCCCCAAAATGTGAGTTACCCAATTGGCAACTCTAAAAGGTACCTTGATTCAAAGCCAGTGCAGGAGCATAGATAACAATTCCAGTATACAGAATCTAGGCAGGGGGAGCGGGAGAAAGCCAAATTAATTATAAAATTCATTAATTGTATCTATGAATTACACACATCAATAAAATATTTTTTTCCTGTAACTTCAATTGTGAATTAAAAGAGCAATTTCTATATGCTTAATAAAATTTGTTTGTAACTTGAAACATGTTATTTAAATATTGTTGATTCTTTTCTCTTGTTTTGCGGGGGCGGTCATAGGTTATAAACATTTTTTATGACCCATGTTATGCAAAAATGCGAACTTCTTGTGTGGTGCTTAGTGCAAATGGTCACTGATCTACCAACTTGAGCTTGAAATCCATTTTCCTATGTAAAACAATTAGAAGAAAATAAAAAACTATTCATTTAAAAAGAGGATGGCCCCCTTAATCGTGTCTTTAAACTATTCTTAATCACTGCATAATCAATAGACAGTAAATAATGTGAAAATAGATTTTTAAAAGTTTCTATGTCCATAAATTAAACAAAAGTGTAAATTTTCACCAAAAAATTCTAAAATCCCCCCAAACTGTAGTCTACCTTTTTAATATTACTTATTATTATAACAAATATTTGTAGAACAGTGGGTAAGACAGATACAGTCTTTTTCTCAAAATACCATGTTTATTACATTTGATCTTTCAAATACTTCACATAGAAGCTAATTCTATGGCTAATTCCATAAAATGTATTGTAAAAGAACATACCATTTGCATGTTTGGTTATATCACATAGGTAAAGCTATGGCAGCCTTTCAAATGAGAGGCGCTGAAGCTCCTGTCCTTTTGCAAAGATAAACTAGCTTTCTACAGTGCTTATTCTATCTAAGTGAAAGATTTCAATACAGGACCATCGACCACCTTCTAACACCCTGTGGGCATTCCTAACAAAGCTCCAAAGAGGATCTAAATAGTTGGCGAATGAAGCCTACCAGGCTCAGCTATGCATCAAAAATCTCTACCAGACCCCCAAAGGCACCTTCCTTTAATACTGCAAGAGTTACACTTACAAATTTAAATTGCGTAATTAACAAAGATACGAAATGGAGTCGAGTGAAATAATTTACAAAGACACTGTGTCTCACCACAGCAAATACTAAGGCAGCTTTTGATTGGAGAAATGGAACTGTAATTGGGGATGAGAAAGAAAACCCTTTCCTCCACCTACATGACCAGACCCAGCCCTAAAGTCATTAACTGCCAAGAGGAAGATAGGTACAATGACATATGTCATGTCTATGTAATGACATAACAATGACCTTTACAATCTTTCAGCAGTCGGATGAACAGTGGGAAGCATTCTCTGTCACTGGCCACTTGGCAACTCCTCGCTTTGCCTTTGTGTCAATCAGAGCTATACACGCATATTCCTGAATTACTGGATGGAGCACTTGGCTTTGAAAACTCCTCCAGAGAAGCCGGGTGCTGTGGCTCACGCCTGTAATCCTAGCACTGTGGGAGGCTGAGGTGAGAGGATTGCTTGAGCTCAAGAGTTCAAGACCAGTCTGAGGAAGAGTGAGACCCTGTCTCTAAAAAAGTAGCCAGGCGTGTGACTGGAACCTGTATTACCATCTACTGGGGAGGCTTGAGCCCAGGGATTTGAGGTTGCTGTGAGCTGTGACCCCACGATACTCTACAAAGTGAGACTCCATCTCAAAAAAAAAAAGAAAGAAAACAAATTAAATTTAAAAAGATAAGAACTCCTCCAGAGCTCTTACAGTTCAATTTTTTAAAGAGCCCTGATTTTTAAAGTATGCTCTCAAATGAAGAAAATTACTTCCTACTGTCTTCCCATGTCACTTAATTTTTTCATACCTTTAATCAACATGTAGTAAAACTCCTGTGAAACATACAACTTGTTTTCCCTTTGTGAGAATTCCTAATTTCAGCTACTACAGCTCCCTCAAATATCTTTGTCATCTACAAATGCCCTTACTATCACCTGGGTGGAGGTGGAAGCAGGTGGGAATAAGGGACAAGTATGTTTTCCTAAGGCTGCTCAATCGATACAGCATTGAATATTCACTTAAATCATTCGGTTTTTCTAGGAAGTAAAGCATTTCTGGAGCACTGTTTAATAATCTTAATGAGTAATATTGCCTCGTGGCAAGTGTTTTTCCTTGTTTTTCCTCATTTTCAACATCTCTTTTTATCTTGCCTGTGTTTAACCCCAATGCCATGGTTAAAAACATTTTAGATAACAAAAGATAAAATAAATTAATGGAGAGCTACTTACTGTTTGAACAACGAAGAGGACTGTTCCACAGAGACGGACGTATTTATTAAATCGAAGCTCTAAGTACTGTTGCCAAAAAAGGAAAAATCGTTATTATGTGAATCCTCCGAACATTTTTTAGCATCACCTTAAGAAGTAAAGAGTTAGAAATTTAAGGCAATTTCATCACTGATTTGTATTCTGTATTTTTATTTTACTATGACTTGTATTTACAGACAGCAAACTAGACTCATGTTTTAGAGTTCAGTTCAACGGGTTTCAACACACAGGTTCATATAACTGTTGTCATCAGGGCACAAAACAGTTCCATCACCCCAAAAACCACCGTGAAACCCTAACAATCACTGATCCATTCTCCATCCCTAGTTTGGCCTTTTCCAGAATATTATACAAATAAAATTACATTCTATATTTTTAGAGTAAGCAAGCTATTATTCTCTTCTTTCTTCTGGTATCTACTCCCTACATTTCCCTTGACTCAAGTAGGGAATCAACTCTCTCTGATCGCCTGCAATTATGATGAGGTGCCCTGCCTCTACTGGCCAAGAGGAAGTCACATGACACCAGCAGGGCCAATCAGGTTGGCTCTCAGCACTTACTTGAATCTTAGAGGCAAAGTACAAAGAAAATGATTAGAGCAGACTGATCCTGACAGAGTGGCCTGAGAGGCTACCCTGGCTTCTGTCCTTTCCAAGGCCTTCTTGCTCAGCTTTTCACTCAGGTCTTTGAGCTACCCTCATGGCCAGTGTTTCTGTTTGTTTGTTTTCACTTAAATTACCAAGTTAGTTTCTGTTCAAAACCAATGACTGCCAATTTCTTCCACTCTCCTTGAAATCTGCTATACCTTATTGTAGGGGCTGCTTATCTCCTACATTATATCATACACTGAAATATAGGTTTTACAGAGTTAGAATTACAGAATTTCAGGGCTGGGGTCTAAGACACTCTTTAACATGAATATTATTACGAATCAGTCTTTTCATATAGCAGGGGAAAAAAAGAGGAAGGACAAACTGGCATTAGATAATAATCAGAAGAAAAGACATCTGATAACTTCACTCCATAACCGTGGCTAACATGGGGTATTTGCTGTGTGCCTCTTCTCAACAGCTCTGTGAGGCAGGTACCACTTAAGAGATTATGTTAGGGATGAGGACATTAGGACCCAGAGAGAATACCATGTTTGCAACCTAATACTTGGTTGGCCACAACACAAATTTAAAATCTTTGATGCCGAATTCCAGGCATATAGCCACATTATTCCATATATATCAGTAAACGATCTGACCATAAGACTCACTAAGCGAATAATGGCACTCACACATAGTAGGACCTCCAGAAATCACTGATGGGTGACAAGATGGGTCACCCATCGGCTTGTATCTCAGCACTTCAAACTCAGCACTCCTCTAACTGTGTGTTAGAGGAAGAATTTGAGGCAATAAGTGTCCAAACTCAGGTTGCTTCTCTACAAAATGAGGAGTATAATCGTAATTTTTTCTCTCTTACTGTGGGGTTTAGAGACTATCCAATGATATAAATGAATGGGAAAACGTCAAAAACTGTTTATTCAAAGGTAAAATTTTAAGAAGTTGGTGGCATCCAAATCCATGCACCTCAAGAAATTTGAATCTCAGTGAAGTACATGTGTCAAAATCATGCCAGGACATTTTGGAAGACCTTTTAGAAGACCGGAGAATTTTCTGAAGCCTAGACACAGGCAGTGTTATTTCTTCAGAGTTCTTTTAGTAAATCTCTATGAACTCCTAAACACATGAATGAACATGAATAAACACAGAATTCTTGAACTTCTAGGTACATGTATCCAAAGTGCTAGAGACTAAAAAAAAAAAAAAAAATCAAAGGTAAAAATGTAGCAAGTCGAACCAAGTAACTTTCATATATTAATTATTCCTCAAGATCAGATGATGCAGGAACACCTCTGTTTTAAACTCACACAAGACCAGCTCCAGACACAACCGAGAAATATAAGCCATTCTTTACTAGGCTACTGAAGACCTACCTGAAGACCTAATCAGAATCCCACGTCACTGCACAGTGGGCTTAGAGAATAGCTCTAGAATTTCCAGTCCAAACTATAGAGTGATGATATGTGCTTATAGGCAACCAAGATCCCTACCGGCCCTCAGAACTGTGAATAACTGAGGGACATGAAGGCTTCTGTGGATACTGATACATAAATAAATAATAAATAAACTCAGTTCAAACACAGATTGAGCTGGATCCAGACAGATCCTGAAGAAGCATTGGGTTCCAGTATTACACTTTTTGCCACACTAGTTGTCTAGAAATTGCTAAACACCTGTCAGGCTACCATTTTGAAGACAGTGAAAAATAATAGGAAAAAATGCTTGTGAATAGCCAATTTTAGCTAAAGAAATGTCAATAGGGAGAGATTTTGTACTTGACCAAGAATGTTATGGTATCTGTCATTGAACGTTGTACCATATATTCTATTTAAGTGGGCTCTACCTCTCAATGTAAAATGGCAAACAAAATATTCCACAAAAAAGTCTTTGCCATGGCCAAGTGCCAGGGTCATGGCATGTGTCCTAACTTCCCTGGCCCCGGTTGCCTGGCCCCTCTGCAGTATGCCCACAACACCCGGTGTCCTATAGTGCTTCCTTTGTTCTCTGTCCTTGTATAAGCCCTGCTTAGGGTTATAACGGACTCACCAGAACCTTCAGAAACAGCCCGGAGGCCGTGAGGCTTATGTCTACATGGCTTCACACTTCTTCTGTGTAGCTTAACTTACCCTGAGTCTCTTTGCCTGCAAAATGGGGCTCTGACAGTAACTCCCTGCTAAAGATTATTCTGTGTCGAGTCAGACGATGTATAAAAACCACGCAGTCCAATGCCTGCATGTATTATATTAAACATTCAATGAAATTTAGTGTTTTGCCATTTTTAGGTGGAACCACTGCTAACTTAGTCTCTACCGCTGTAAACGTGAGGGAATTCATTTCTGTTTGACTTAATGCTGCGGCCCCAGAGACACATAGGTCAATGATTACAAGAGCAGCATTCATTTGTGGGGACTAAAGTCCCCTCACCCGATTTTTAAAAACCTTTCAAAGTTTCGGAGTTGGTTAACTACAGATCAGAGCTCAAGGATTCAAATGCCTGCAGGTCCCATCAGGTCACCTACATGAGTAACAATGGTCAGATGTTCATACATTAACATGTTGGAATATTCCTTACATCCACTAAGAAATACATTCTCTTACGTATTTCTGGAAACAAGAATTCCCTTCCTGTCCATTTTCCCTTTTGTGTGTTTTTGATACAGATATAAATACAACTAAGGACTTAGTCACCATAACACAAACGCAATGGTAAGACCTCAGTAGAGAAGTTAATAGGGAATGAGAGCAGTGGCCATAAGCATTCCTGTGACCATAGAGAACATGGGTCTGTGGTCACCAGTCTTCTGAGTTTTCAAAAGATGTCAGAGTTGGCTGGGTGCGGTGGCTTACACCTGTAATCCCAGCAGTCTGGGAGGCCAAGGCAGGTGGATTGCTTGAGCTCATGAGTTTGAGACCAGCTTGAGCAAGAATGAGACCAGCATCTCTACTAAAAATGAAAACCTGAGGCAAGAGAATTGCTTGGGCCCAAGACTTTGAGACTTTGAGGTTGCTGTGAGCCATGACACCACAATAATCTACTAAGTGTGACAAAGTGAGACTCTGTCTCCAAAAAAAAAAAAAAAAAAAAAGTCAGAGTTAAATAATAAATTACTTTTTTTCCCAAAACAGTATCAGACTCAAAAAAAAAAAAAAAAATGACTGAGGACTGAATTTGGCCTGGGACATCCAGTTTGTCACCGCTGAGAAGAACAAAGAAATCCGTCGTGCTCTCTTCCGGGATGAAGACCCAGCTCTCCCAAACACAGTGACCAAAGCAAAGGGAAGGCAGTGCTGCCCCAGGGGTGCCTCGCCCGGGAAGACATCCCTAGAGCCCAGTCACAGTTTGTCACCAAGGCTTGTTGTGCCATTAGGGCTCTGTCCCCAGCACCAGTTGAACCAGCTTCACCAGGAAACCACCTTCCAGCGGCCCTGGGCTGGGGCTAAAACTTCCGTGAGTTGGTCCACAAAGCTGAGCAATCAGTGCCTGGGAGGAAGCAGACACTGCGGCCACTGAACGGCCACGTGGCTCTTTGAGCCTTCATCCCCCCACTCCAATACAATAGCTCTCTCACCCAACATTCATCTTTGCAAAGCTCTGTCCCCCAGACAACTTGAGCAAACTTGTAACCAGGGAGCCCGTGTACTACAGGAAAGATAGTTGTCCTTATTTATCTTTCCATAGAGAAGACGGGGCTGTTTGAGAACCTTATCGTCTAAGTTTCCTACTGATCCCAAGAAAACTACCTCCGCCTCTAGCAACCACTGCGATACTTATGGCCGACTTGCACTCGGCAGTTGCTATTCTGTGCTGGGCAGTGTTGTAAATGCCACACTTGGCGTCACCATTGCATCCTCCCAACAGCTTGAGATAGGTGTTGTTGTTATTCTTTTAGACATGAAGAAATAGGCATAAAAGGTTAAATAAGTCGTCCAGTATCACCCGGTAAAATCTGGCCTGAGATGCAGGCCCTGGGCCAGGAGATGCAGCCCCTTAACCGTCTGGGTGCCGGCCTCTGGTGGGAAGGGGGAGTGTGTGGAGGGGAGAGGAAGGCAGGCCAAGTTCTGCACCAGCTGTCCTGGAAAAGGGTATGGTGCTGGGGACGCGGGGAAAAAGGATTCATTCCAAGGAGGAGGAGCTGAGATTTGAATGATTTACCCTCCCCGCAATAAAAAGTTGTAAAATCTTTCCCCTTGACTGGGATTCAAAGATGTTAATGGGAGAAAAGACTTTCACCGAGCTGCCCAAACCACTCCGTTTACTTTGGAAGCCTCTGTTTTCACTGAGCTCAGGAGATAAATCCCCCTCACCTCCCAGCCCCACTCCCAGCCCTTAAAGGACACCTCTCCCCAGAAAGGAAGGAGGGAAGGGATGGGAGGAGGCGAGGTAGTACCGAGAGGGGAGCGCAGGTGATGAAGGGGACAGGGAGAGATTTGCGTGCGGCTCTGAGAGTGAAAATTCCTCCAGCAGCCTAAAGAGCCCCCTGCTCCGCCGTCCGGGCCACCCTCCCCCTTTACCTCGTAGGTGCTGGTCACTCCCAGTTTGTAGAACACTGGGAGGAAGACCTCGGCGCTGAGCACCACCGTCAAGAAGTAGGTGACGGCAAAGATGCTGAATATGGCCCCGAAACGGTAGACCTCCGCGGGGGTGCCCAGGACGGTGATCGCCGACATGAAGCTGGCGGTGAGGGACAGCGCCACCGGCACGGCGTTCATCCTGCGGCCGCCCATCAGGAAGTCCTTGGAGGTCTGCTGGCCGACCCCCGCGAAGGCGTAGTAGACGCCGATGACCGCCGAGATGACCAGCATGCCGGCGAACACCAGGTAGTCCCACACCACGAAGGTGCCGATCTCCCGCGGCGCGGCCATGGCCCCGCGGCTCGCTCCGGAGCCTGGCGCTGTGGCTTGGCCGCCGGCCCCGGTTCTTATCTCCGCGGGGCTGCGGGCTTCCCAGCTGGGGCTGCTCCCTGAGCCCACCACCGCTGGCCGCGCCCCTCAACCCGGGTCTGGGGTTTCAGGGGGTTCCCGCCGCGCTGCGCGGTCCCCAGGTGCGGGACTGGGCGGGGCGGCGGGGATGGCCAAGGCTCCGGGACGTCCCGCAGGTGAGAACTGGAGTCTGCAGCCCAGTCTGACAAACTCGCAGAGAGCGCAGACTTGAAGTGGCACCCCGAGGGGAAGCACCATTTAAATAAGGAGCCGACCGGTGGGGGAGTGTGGGACAAGGGCAATTGTCACGCCTTGATTTGAGCTTTCCAGTTCAGCAGTCCAGGTCCTTGCGGAAAGATGTGCCCAGAGGTTTAGATTGCCTTAATGGGTGACATGGGTTGATCTGGGTGACAGTCTGCAAGGAGCTGAGGTCCCGATATAAGTAAGCCATTATAAAGGAGAGAAGAAAGTCTGTACCATTTATTTCATAGCCTGTGTTTTTACTCAATAAACATTTCTGATCACCTACAGTTGTGGCACAAATGTCGTTGCTGTCACATTAATAATAATTCCTTCTGTTTAATGAGTCCTTAGGGTGTGATGTATACAAGCCCGGCACCTTTGACATTAACGTGATTCCAACTATTACTCTTGAAAAATGAATTGTCTCCATTTTTCTAATACGGAAACTGCTTTAAAATGCCTAAGTTCCCTTCTTGTAGAATATAAATGTCTTAACACGGTAACTAAGAAAATGCCGTGAAGGCTATGTTAACCAGTCTGATGAAAGTATTTCAAATTGTATATAAAACCAGCACATTGTACCCCATACTTGCATTAATGTACTCAGCTATGATTTAATAAAAAAAAAATTTTTTTTAAATGGCTAAGTCACTTGTCCAAGGAAATGGTGGAGCTTAAGATTTTTAATCTAGGTCTGATTTCAGAGCTTGTTTGCCTAATCACAGCGCTATGTGTATACTTTGTAGAGTCCTATGTGGGTACCTGTTCGATTCAGGTACAAATGTGCACACTTAGATTAAGACTCTTGAAAGCATGTAGGAAAGATCATTTCCAGTATCAGCCAGCACTCAGGACATCCTTTAAGTGGCTTTCCTTGAAATATTAGTACATGAGTCACACTCAGAACGTATTACAATAATTCTTCCATTCTCCTTCTAACATGGATACTCCAGCCACCCGTCCAGCTATAGGTCTGTTTCCCACTGCCCTTGTTCCTTTCCACACCTCTTTACAATTTACCAGTTGATCCGTGGTAAATAATCCGCAGAATGTAGTTAGTCCAGTCCCGTGAATGGAGAAAGCTATATCAGATCTTATTCTTTGTGAACGGGTGTTATTTTCATAACATTTTTCAGAAGGAAATAGGGAAATAGAAGTGAAATCCAGGTAATTTAATCGCACAAACAAATAGGTGGTTTGGGGTTTTGTTTCACCTGAACAAAGTGAAAATTACTGTAAAATACAGTGAAATTTACTGTATTTATAGATTGCATTGTATACACATAGTATCTATTTAAAAGAATACACACACACACACACACACACACGGGTGCCTGTAAAGCAACCTATAGAATAACACACAGAAGCATCCAGCTGAAGATCTTTCTAGGAACTGAATTCACCACTTATGGGAACTTCTTTAAAGCCAATAGTGCTAGATACAATAAAAAAAAAAAAAAAAAACTCATCTTCTTTCAGACATCTAGAGTTAAGAACAGATCTTCAGGTAGCTAGTGACCAATACATCCCAGTGGTCGTGTTAGAGGCAGAACAGCTTAGGGTTAAAGCTGTAGACTCTAAAATACATGACCTCCTGACTTTGCTACCTACTAGCTAAGATATCTTTGACAAATGCTTAATTCTTCCATGTCTTGGTTTCCTGTATCTAAGTGGGAATTCTTATCTCACAGAGTTGTAGGGGATTAAATGAGATCACACGTGAATAGACCCTGACACTAGTAAGTACTAGCATTGTCTGATTACCTTACAATTTATTGAGACTCAGGTTAGTGTAAATTATGGCTTGGAAGTACTGCTATTAGACACGGCCTATTTCCCTTTGTGAAATGTCACAAACTGTGTGTTTATACCCTATTTTTTTAGATCTTTCAGGTGTCCAATATTTGTCTTCAAATTGTATTTTCCAGAAGAAGGCTCTTTCTCTGAGCCTTTGACTACCTGAGGTGGCGCAGCTATTGTTTTCAAATAAAAGGAAAAAATTCAGCTGAGAAAATTCTTACGTTGCGATCTTTGGACTTTCAAAAAACTATAGGTATTTTTCTACTGCCTTTTGGCATTTCTTATTGGAGAGCTATCTGAGGACAGCGATTTTTTGTTTCCTCATAAATAACTCGCTTTATGGTTGAATGCTAACAGATTGGTTTTTCTTTATACTTGCATTCCCACATTTGGCCAGGATATTTCTAGAAGAGCCACCTTTTCCTCATCATCTAGAATGGTGAGTCCTTCCAATTTAAATAGTCAGGTGTTGTTTTTTTTTTTTTTTTATTTGCTGTTGTTGCTTCAATTACTCTAGTATCTTTCTCAGAAATCTATAATTCTTCAATAAATCTGTCTAGTCTTCTATAATTATTCTCTTGAATCTTTTTTTTTCCTTTAACCAGCGCAGCCTAAGAGGTCAACTCTGTCTTTCGTGTCACTGACTCTGGTGATGCTCTACTTCACTGCTCCCAATGTGGATGTGACTTCTGCTGTTCCATTTTAATATCACTGAATTTTAAAAAACAATCCCTTCCCTTTCATCTCTAAAGTCTTCTCACCTTTAAAATGCCTCGCAGTTTTCTTAATATTTTTTTAACTATAAGAGCAAAACAATATTCCCATTCCTTTGTCCCTCAGACGCTTTTCCTAGGACTTACGTGTCTATGGATGACCTTTCCGGCAATTATCTCAAATGAAAAAGTAAATTCCAGACTTAGTGTTTGCCAAAAGGCCGGTTATGTTGCTTCCCATCTTATGTCTCTTCTTTTAGGTTCTCACTTTTTCAACCAGATGGTGTGGCAGTTTGATACCTAACTTGCTATAACGATAATTAGATTTGCATTCTTAATGGCTCTGTTGGACAGAGATAGTACACATGTTTTCACCTGTCCCCACTGCCTTGTGTTCTTGCGCTCTCACCATGAAATACCATCATAGAAACCTTAAGTTGCAGTGTCTGTTGCATCTGAGGTTGTTCTGTCTCCACCCAAACTAGAGTACTTTTCTTGCAAGAACTACTGCTCCCAAGATTCACTGCGCATTCCCAGTTCACTCTACCCCCTACAGCATCCAGCAGAGGCTTCAGTGAGAGAGTACGTTCTCTGGAGGTGTCAGCCTCTGATTGATGGTATAGAGAAAGATGCACTTTGATGCCAATCACCCAAACAACAGAGGGCTGGCTGCCTCGTTTTTTCTTTTCTTTTCTTTTCTTTTTTTTTTTTTTTTT